TCCTTTCTCACTGGGAGTTAAACTAGCTTTTGAGACTTATTGCAAAGCATTTTGTATATGTAATATATTGTAAGTAAATATTTGTGTAACGGAGATATACTACTGTAAGTTTTGTACTGTACTGGCTGAAGGTCTGTTATAAATAAACATGAGTAATTTAACAACCCTGCTTGTTTTTGCAGACTTCCTTTGCCTTGCTTTTTCTACTGGGAGGGAGGGGGTCTCTTTGCAGCATGTTATACCAACTAAACAGTTTAGGAGGTGAACAAGTTTAAGATCACGAAGAAACCAGATAAGAGTGCTTAAGTTGTTGCTGAAGAAGAATGAATAATTTTCAGCCTGGAATGGGAAGTGGAGGAAACTTTCCTACCAGGATAGGAAAGCGAGCCTTACTTGCCTGTCTATCCAACAGAACCTCATCAAACATTTTTTGAGTACCTACTATGTGCAAAACCATTATATGCCCAGGGAGATGTAAGTTACAATAATATGAGTGATGATAATGATAGGGTCTACCATTTCTTGAGCGTCTCATAAACTCTTAGCACTGTATCAAGTATCCATTGAATTACAGAAACACCTACAAAGGAATTATCAGAATTACTACGAAGAAATAAAAGCCTGAGAGAATAAATACCTTGTCCAAGGCTCATCAGTAATAGGTGACAGAAACAGAATTGAACCCAGAGGTTTGTGAGTCAAATTTGTACCTATCTCTTTATGCCAGGGAATGCAGCCAGTGAAATCCCCAGGCTAAAAAAAATCAAAAGAGCCGGGCTCGGTGGCTCAGCCTGTAATCCCGCGCTTTGAGAGGCTGAGGTGAGTGGATTGCCTGAGCCTGCGGGTTCAAGACCCGCCTGGGCAACTTGGTGAGACCTCATCTCTACAACAAATCAAAAAATTAGCCAGGCATGGTAGCGCGTGCCTGTAGTTCCAGCTACTTGGAAGGCTGAGGCGGAAGGATAGCCGGAACCCAACAGGTCGAGGCTGCGGTGGCCTTGAGCAGCATGCCACTGCACTCATCCTGGGTGACAGAGTGAGACTCCCAACTCAAAATAAATTAAAATAGAAAAAAGGGGCCGGGCTTGGTGGCTCAGCCTGTAATCCCATGCTTTGGGAGGCTGAGATGAGTGAATTGCCTGAGCCCGGGGGTTCAAGACCCGCCTGGGCAATTTGGCGAGACCTCATCTCTACAATAAATCAAAAAATTAGCCGGGTATGGTAGCTACTTGGAAGGCTGAGGCGGAAGGATCGCCGGACCCCAGCAGGTCAAGGCTACAGTGGCCGGGAGTGCCCACTGCACTCCAGTCTGGGTGACAGAGTGAGACTCCAACACAAAAAAAAAAAAAAAAATCAAAAGAAAAGCGAAAGTAGGATCATCAATTTGGTTGTCTTAAATATTAACTATTTTCCGTCCCCTTCACTCTGAACTTTGTGTTTTCTTCCATCTATCTACCTCATTGCTATTCATACAGTAATGTCTGCCTTCTGTTTTCCATGAGACTACAATGAAGTGAAAATTGGAGACACCCATCTAGAGTCTATTATTTTCCATGTCCCATTGAAACTAACCAAATTCAAAAGAGACAGTGAAGCCAGGCTGAGTGGTGCAGACCTATAGTCCTAGCTAATTAGGAGGCTGAGGTGGGAGGATCACTTGAACACAGGAGTTTGAGACCAATCTGGGTAACATCGCAAGACACCCCCATTTCTTTCCCCACCCCCATCTCTTAAAAAAATTAAAAATAAGTCGGCATGGTGGCTCACACCTGTAATCCCAGCACTTTGGGAGGTGGAGGCAAGAAGACTGCCTGAGCCCAGGAGTTCGAGACCAGCCTAGGCAACTTAGCAAGACTTCTCTACAATAAATCAAAAAATTAGCCGGGCATGGTGTTGTACGCCTGTGGTTCCCGCTACTTGGAAGGCTGAGGTGGAAGGATCGCCTGAGCCCAGCAGGTCGAGGTTGCGGTGGCCGGGAGTGTGCCACTGCACTCCAGTCTGGGTGACAGAGTGAGACTCCAACTCAAAAAAAAAAAAAGAAAAAAGGGACAATTGAAGCGGGTTAAAAGAAACCATGATGGGTTGCTGGAGGGAAGATGAATTAGTGTGTTCAGACTCTAGAATGACTCAGAATGAATGACTGTTTTCTATTTGTACCATGTTGGTTCTGAATGCTGGGACCCTAAGAATCTCAGTATCTTCAAATTTAGAGACAACTGAGTGGTTGGCTGTCCATGGATAGTCACTCTTGTCATGGCTCAAGCCTTTCTGATGGCTCTTCAAAGGTTAAATGGAGCTTACTCATAACATGGAGTGCTTCAATCAGGGTCTAGATATACCAATGAGAGGTGAAATAATTTTAGTGGCTCTTCATCAGCATTTATTAAAATACAGCCGGGCACAGTGGCTCACGCCTGCAATCCCAGCACTTTGGGAGGCAGAGGCAAGAGGACTGTCTGAGTCCACAGGTTCGAGACCAGCCTGGACAACATGGCAAGACCTCGTTTCTACAATAAATCTAAGTCAGCTAGCATACTGGCGCATGCCTGTGGTTCCAGTTACTCGGAAAGTGGAGGTAGAAGGATTGCTTGAGCCCAGCAGAGTCAAGGATGCAGTGGCTGTGAGCATGCCACTGCACTCCAGCCTGGGCAACAGAGTGAGACTTCAACTCAAAATAAATAAATAATAAATAAATAGGCAGGGCTCAGTGGCTCAGCCTGTAATCCCCACACTTTGGGAGGCCAAGGCAGGTGGATTGTCTGAGCCCGCTGATCTGAGACCAGCCCAGGCAACTTGGTGAGACCCCGTCTCTACAATAAATAAAAAAATTAAGTTAGACTTGGTGGCTCAGCCTGTAATCCCGTGCTTTGGGAGGCTGAGGTGAGAGGATTGCCTGAGCCCGTGGGTTCGAGACCCGCCTGGGCAACTTAGTGAGACCTCATCTCTACAATAAATAAAAAAATTAGCCAGGCGTGGTAGCACGTGCCTGTAGTTCCAGCTACTTGGAAGGTTGAGGCAGAAGGATCATGGGAGTCTAGCAGGTCGATGCTGGGGTGACTGTGTGCCATGGCACTCCAACCTGGGCGACAGAGTGAGACTCCAACTGACTAACTAACTAAATAAATAAAACAAACAACATACCAGAGTATCTTATGCTGTTAAGGGTAAGTAATGTTTTATGAAGTTTGTGTTTCAGTTTTTTGTTGTTGTTGTTGTTGTTGTTTTGAGTTGGAGTCTCACTCTGTCACCTAGACTGGAGTGCTGTGGCCACTCCCGGCCACCGCAGCCTCCACCTGCTGGGCTCTGGCGATCCTTCTGCCTCAGCCTTCCAAGTAGCTGGAACTACAGCCACGTGCTACAATGCCCGGCTCATTTTGATTTTTATTGTAGAGATGAGGTCTCGCCAAGTTGCCCAGGCGGGTCTCGAACCTGGCAATCCACTTACATCAAGCCTCCCAAAGGCACAGGATTACAGGCTGAGCCACTGAGCCAGGCTGTGTTTCAGTTTTATTTGAGTCAGTGTCTCACTGTAGCCCAGGCTGAAGTGCACTGGCACAATCACTGCTCACTGCAGCCTCGGATCTCCTGGGCTCAGATCCTCCCACCTCAGCCTCCCAAGTAGCTGAGGACTACAGCCACACTCGACCACGCCCAGTTAATTTTTTGATTTTTTTTTTTGTAGAGTGGAGGTCTTGCTATGTGGCCCAAGCTGGTCCCAAACTCCCAGCCTCAAGCGATTCTCACGCCTTGGCCTACCAAAGTGCTAGGATTACAGGCGTGAGCCACTGAACACAGCCGTGTTTCAGTTTCATATGTGTGTGCTTATTTGTCTTTGTGTGTGTGAGTACCAACGTAAAATGTATTTGTGTTATAGATCAGGGTCAAAAACGCTTAATTCGCTGGTCCAGGCTATTCCTCCTTCCACTCGTTTGTGAGGTGACATACAGCACGGTACAGTGGAGCTAGAATACCTCTGACTAGTTGTGTGTGACCTTGGGCTAGTGATCTAATTATGCTGCACCTCAGTTTTTCAATCTTTAGAGTGAGGATAATAACAGTACCTACCTTATAGGCTTGCTGAAAGTTAAATGAGTTAATAATATTTTAAAAGTGCTTATCACAGTGTTTGGCGCTGTGCTCACAAGATCCAGGGATAAAAAGGTGAGTAAGAAACAGCCTTAGCCGGGCGCGCTGGCTCACAGCTGTAATCCCAGCACTTTGGGAGGCGAGGGCGAGAGGACAACCTGAGTCCAGGGGTTCGAGACCAGGCTGGGCGACTTGGCGAGACCTTGTCTCTGCAATAGATCACAAAAATCACCCAGGCGTGGCGGCGCGTGCCTGTGGTTCCAGCTACTTGGAAGGCTGAGGCAGAAGGATCGCCTGAGCCCAGGAGGTCGAGGCCGCGGTAGCCGTGAGCGTGCCACTGCACTCCGACCTGGGCGACAGGGTGAGACTCTGACCTCAAAAAAGAAAGCAAGAAAGAAACAGCCCTAGCACCAAAGCCCTTGTCCACAGTTCTTCATTGTGGGAAGAATTCTTCATTTCTCCAGGGTGGAAGGAGGGACTCACAAAACGCTCGCTTCCTCTCGGGGTCTTCCTCTTCGGAACCCCACACCCAGGAGGAGGGTCGTCAGAGAAATGAGCTGAGGGCGTCCCCCGGTGGCGTAGCGCCGCCTTTGGTTTGAGGGTTCCGGGCCAGGGGCCTGTAGGCTTCGCACTACAACTCCCACCACGCATCTCTCTCTCCCGGGCCTCTCACAGGCAGCGCGTCCTGTGGTCTAGCGCCGGTCAACTTCCGCGCCCAGCGCCGTGTCGACCGGAAATCCCAGCGCCGAGCAGTACGTCCGGTGTGGAGCGTCGCGATGCATGCCGGGAAACGTATTACTCTAATTTTCTTCCGCCAGCGGCGAAATAGTCCCACGGGCATTTTGTTCCACGAATAAATAAACCTCAGGAACGCCCTTCCGCCCTAGATTTCAGCAGAAAGGCTGAATGCTTTTACCAATTTGAGAAACGTGGGTTGCAGTTCTTGACGCCCGTCTACTTCCGGTGTGAGCGGAGGGATCTGGCGCTATATAAGAGGGCCCTGGCAGGCGCCGGATCCTCTCTCTGGTCCTCGCATCCAAGATGGTGGGTCCGTGCGTTTGGGGAATGTGAGGGTTCGGGTGCAGTCTGGGAAAAGCCGACTCTGGGGTTGTAGGGATTTGAGAGCCTGCGCCATGGTGGAGGGGCCGGCAGCGTGGATGTATGCTCCTGGGCTTGGAGGGGTTTGCGGAGGGTCGGGATATCTGAGTGGCGCCTCTCTGGGGGCTGCCGGCGCGGCGTGCGGGCGCAAGGGGGCTGAGGCAGGGCGATTTGAGCTCCCTTCCTAACGGGGTTCCTATCCTGCTGCAGACAAAGAAAAGAAGGAACAACGGTCGTGCCAAAAAGGGCCGCGGCCACGTGCAGCCCATTCGCTGCACGAACTGCGCCCGATGCGTGCCCAAGGATAAGGCTATTAAGAAGTTCGTCATTCGAAACATAGTGGAGGCCGCAGCTGTCAGGGACATTTCTGAAGCGAGTGTCTTCGATGGTAAGTGAGCCAGCCACCCGCGCAGACTGCGTGAGGATCCTAGTACCCCAACGCCTCCCCCAACCTCGCTCCTCTGTGGCCTTTGTTCTTTTGGGGCCTCTCGTTTTGTTGCTGGTGGAAGGAAGCCGTGTGTTCTCTTTGCTTTTTTTGGGCAGAGGGTGACCTTTTGTGATAACAGTCTACAGTGTTTACTCTGAGGTTTGAACCACAGATTGTGACTGCCTGTTTAGGGGATGCGATCCCTAAAACATAGGCAGAGAACTGGTAAATGTAACTATTTTTCAACAATTGAGTGCTCGTGAAAACGTATGGATGAGTAAAAGTCTCTTAAATGTTTCAAGAATGGAGGCAGTCTAGTTTGGGTAAGGGTGATCTTTAGAGCAATAAGATGTCATTTTATTTCTCTAGAAGCTGCTTTTCTAGGCAAGGAGGCTTCTATATAAGCATTGGGGCTGATGTGGCCGTTGAAGAAAGGGGGTTCCTGGTTTATCATATATAGGGTGTGAATTTGGTCCCTGTAGTGCCAAGATGAACTCACACAGGGTGTTACTCATTTTCAAAACTGACAGTTGTACATACGTGCTTACTCTCAGAAGCTGAACAGTTAGTTGCTTTGGGAGTGAGAAAGTCATTTTAGGTGTGTGTGAGAGATATTTAAGTGAGTTTACTTCTGATGTCGTAAACAAAGAATAGTGTAACATAGGTATTTAATACCAGCATGTCTGTATTTTCTGTTCCTCAGCCTATGTGCTTCCCAAGCTATATGTGAAGTTGCATTACTGCGTGAGTTGTGCCATCCACAGCAAGGTGGTGAGGAATCGGTCTCGTGAAGCCCGCAAGGACCGGACACCCCCACCCCGATTCAGACCTGTGGTGAGTATTTAAAATGAGAATGTGTTAGACAGTGAAGTGATAATGGGTATGATAAGGGGGGGAAAGAGGGGAATGTGGAAACCAGAGGACTGACGTTAAGAGGATTTTGTCTTGAGACACAAGGAATATCAAATTAAGCTCTCTGCCTGAGGTTAAGTTCTAAGTTGCAGGTGTGAGACCCATACCTAAAACACGTGCTTAAAACCGCTCCTAGAGTTGTTAGAATCTGTTTTTGGATGGTAGAGTAGTGTTCATCCCTGTATTGACAGGTTTTCTGTACAATTATAGCCTGAACGTTTTTGGTGAGAGGATAGTCATCAGTTTTTTCAGGAAGGGGGTCTTGGACCCATGGTTTAAGTTGACTCTCTTGTCTTTCAGGGTGCTGCCCCACGGCCTCCACCAAAGCCCATGTAAGGAGCTGAATCCTTAAGGACTGGAGAACAACTATCTGGGAAAAAATAAAATGGAAATTATACTTACTAGAGCATGTTGAGTATATCTGCCACATAGAGTGGGGGTTTTGTGTATGTTACTTCAAGTGAGGTGCCGTACAGTGATTTAGTGGGGAGAGCCTATCCGTTTAAGTCTTTAACTTTTTTACATTTATGTACTTAGTCTCCACAATTTGCACAGCTGTAAATATTGGGTTAAT